GCCGGAGATCAAACCATGCACATGCCTCCTCCCAAAAAGGTCGGGCATGCGGACAGGAGAGTAATGCATGGTGCAAGTCCTCCTCCCTGGCGAAGCACACTTTGCAGTTGCTAAAGTCTGCAATATGGCGGTTCTTGAGTGTGTACTCATCTGGGAGAATTCCTCGAAGTACTCTCCACCAGAAAACTCTCACTTTTGGAATAACATTTAGTTTCCATAGGGCTTTCCACATCTGCTTGTCATCCTCTGAGGTCCCGGTAGTCGTCCCTTCCTCTAGAGCTAATCGCTCTTTCTGAGTCACAAGAGCCCGGTACGCTGTCTTTACAATGTAGTTGCCCGATCTATCAAATGCCCATGCATGAAAATCAGGTCCCCCCTGCCGAATAGGAATGTTAATGATGGCAGCTGCATCCGAGGCAACGAAAGTATCCCGAATCAAATCCTGTCGCCACGTCCAATTCTCTGAATCAATTAAGTCTGACACCTTCTCCACATAAGTATTCAGTGGTCTCGCTAATGGAGTCATGGAGATGGTGCCCGGGATCCATTTATCAGTCCAAACTGATATAGTGGAACCATCCCCCACTCCGGATATCAAACCGGTCTCAAGAGCCTTTCTCCCTGCCAGGATAGCCTTCCATGTAGCCGAAGCCGACTTGGGTGCTGTTGCTTGCATGAAATCTGAATCTGTGAAATAACGACCCTTTAGAACTCTTGCACATAAGGAATTTGGATTTGTCAAAAAACACCATCCGTGTTTACCCAACATAGCCAGGTTAAATTGCTGAAGATCCCTGAAACCCATTCCACCATTGCACGTGGTTGTAGCCATATCCTGCCAAGACACCCAATGCATCGACTTTTTGTCAAGAGAACTACTCCAAAAATATTCAGCCATAGGAGAAGTTATGCTCTTACAGACTTTCTTGGTCAGCAGAAAGGTACTCATAGGATACGTAGGAATAGCCTGTACCACTGTTTTCAACAAGACCTCACGACCTGCACATGCCAACAATTTCTCTGACCAACCCTGAATTTTCCACAAGCTCGTTCACTTATATGATCAAAGGTACCACTAGTGATACGCCCAACTGCCATAGACAAACCCAAGTATTTCTCACTAAAGGCCTCCACTTGAATGTTCATGATGGCCTTCAAGGAGTTCCTCACTATATCATGTATCAGGAGTATTAGATGAAAAGAAAATGGAACTCTTATCACAATTAACCCGCTGACCTGAAGCATCACCATATATCCTGAGAATCTCATTCAACCTTAAAGCACTTGTTGTTTTTGCATTGATGAAAATCAAACTGTCGTCTGCAAAAAGCAGATGTGTTACCCAAGGTGATCGGTAGCTGACACGCAAACCTCGGTCCACAGTTCCTCCATTGTAACTATTAAGCAATGGGGAAAATCCTTCCCCGCAAAGAAGGAACAAATACGGCGAGATAGGATCGCCTTCTCGAAGTCCTTTAGACGGGATGAAAAAAGGCAATAGTTCACCATTCACCCTGACTGAGAACCGCACTGAAGTCACACATTTCATAATTAACCTGACAAAAGCTATGTCAAATCCAAGTTTTGATAGTATAGCCTCCAGGTAATGCCACTCGACACGATCGTAAGCTTTCATCATATCGAGCTTGACCGCGCAAGAATAATTTTTCCCTTTCTTTCTCCTCTTCATAGTATGCACACTCTCGTATGCCACTAAAACATTATCGGTGATCAACCGACCGGGAACAAAAGCACTCTGTTCCTCGCTAATAATCTCATCCATAATACCTCTGAGTCTATTGGTGATTGCCTTGGACGCAATCTTATAAAGAACTGGACAAAGAGCAATAGGACGATACTGAGAAATAAATTGTGGGTGTTTTACCTTGGGTATGAGAATAATGGAAGTGTCATTCAAGCCCGGAGATAATTCCAAAACCATTGAGAAATTCCAAAACCGCACTAGTAACATCGCCTCCCAAAAGGCCCCAGTGCCTTTGATAAAAACCGGCTGTGTATCCACCCACTCCCAACGCCTTCGAAGGAGCCATCTGAAAAAGTGCATGCTTGACCTCCTCGGCCGTATACGGTTTTGTCAGCTCCACATTCATTGCATTTGAGACTTTGACAGGGACGTGAGCTAATAGTTCTCCCGCATTAGCAAACCCTTGGGTACGATACAGGTTGGTATAAAAATTCTGTACTTCCTTCTTATCCTCATTTTCATTAGCACAAACAGATCCATCCGCCCTCTGCAGGCCTTGTGTCTTGTTTACTCTTCTCCGTTGTCTAGCTTGAGCTTGAAAATATGCAGTACTACGGTCACCCTGTCGGAGCCATGGGACGCGTGATCATTGCCTGAACCACACCTCCTCCTGATGTAGTGCTTCTTTCAATTTCTTGACAATGGCCAGCTCTTCAGGTGACGGACCCCGGCCAACAGACCCGGATCGAATTCGATCTAGTTTCTTCTGAAGCTGTCTCACCTTCCGTGTCAAACTCCCGAACTCCTTAGAAGTCCACGGTTCCAAAGTTGCCTGTAATTCACTCAACGCATCGGATATACCTCGCATTCCGGGGTTGCGCTGCAGACCTTGCCATGTATCCGCCACTAGGCGATTATAATCAGTATGGGTCTGCCATACATTTTCGTATCTAAACTGCTTCTTTGCCCGTGGCCTCGAAGCTACTGTCTCTTTTATCTCCGCCACAACAAAACAATGATCAGACTCCACCGATGAGAGATGCTCACCCTGATATGCTGAAACTGTTGTCGGAAAGCCTCATTAGCGAAAGCACGATCCAATCTCGCCTTACTTGCCAAGTGTGTGTACGCTCGCGGCCGGGTTGGTAGAAGAAACCGTACGCAGAAACGTGGAGCTAGCACCCGTCGGTCGGAACAGGGTCAGGGAGGATGTATACCGACCGACCGAGCCGCTCTCGGACAAGCCAAGAGTCGCTCCTGTTCCTGTCGCCTTGGGCGCTAGCGCCGGTCGTCGGTACATTGCTTTTTCTCCGGCCGGGTGATCGATGCGGCACCGAGAGGCCGGAACGGAAGCTTCCCGCTCCCGTACATTTCAGGGACGGCGACGTTGGACGGACTCGTCTCCGGCCAGCTCGCACCGAGGTCCCTGTCGAGGAAGGATAGGCACGAGAATTCTTATCCTGCCGTCGCTGGCTGCTTGTTCTGCGGACCAGGGAAGGCTGAGGATTCAAGGTGCATATGGCGTGCTGAATGGATGAAGCTGCTGTGGTTTCTAGAGTTGTTTCACTAGGGTTTGAGTCGTTTGACGCACGATCATAGCATGTCGTTTTTGCTTCTTCCTCTCTCTTTTTCTGTGAGGGGAGTATGTCTTTTTTTTCGTTTTTGCTGTTACTTTCCTCTCTTTAAACCATGTTGGGTTTTGGTGCTAACAGGTTTTCGCCCATGACGAGTGCTTCGATGAATCGACGGCCACTCGCAGTGGGTTATCTGACTGATAGTGCCTCAACTCGCTTCTCCCCTTTCCGGTCCCTCTTTTGTTTCTTTTGAGTGGCATTGAATGTTCTCAAGTGGCTATTTCTGTTAAGAAGCTAATAAAAAGGGGTGTAAGCTCGGCTAGAAAAACAATATAGTTGTACTACTATTATAAAACTACTATGCCTGCTGTAAATATATTGATAAACCATATCAATATCTTTTTCAAATGAGATCAATATACAAATGGGGATTCCTCCACCCCGTGAGTACTTTTTCAGAAAAGAAAAAAAAAACTCTTGCACCTCCTTGGGTTTACAGGGATTCCTCCATACGGTGACTACCTTTTATGAAATGGATTCCTATTCGTAGATAGTACTGGTCTGTATTCTTAACATTTCTAAGAAAAAAACCTATCTTGGACCTAATAGAAAGATAATCTTATGTTATGAACTAAATGACATGTCATTTTACTATAGAATTTGAGATACATGTCATCTCATTTTTTATGACTTTTCAATTCCTATGATATTCCTATCCTACGAAACAAATGAGGATTTATATCCTAAGAGTTTAAAAAAAAAACTAAAGTAGGGGGAATAAGCATGTGTTCTCACGTCCTCGGCGCAGTTTACAGAATAATGAGGTAGATTATCCGTTTTTGGAGTGAAGGTATGTAATATGTGCCTGGTCAATTGTTGAGTGTCGAAGCGGTGGTTGATATTTCTCCCACTCATGTGCCGGTGTAGAAACAATGCTACACTGGCCTAAGTCTGCTCATAATCAAACTAATATTGAACGTTCATGGGGTTATTCCGTTAAAAGTTGAGCGTAGTTAAAATAGAGTTGCTCATAATCAAACTAATATTGAACGTTCCAAAGGTAGCACCGCTTGCTGGTTGCGCCGTGTTACCGATAGTGCTTCCGAATTTGTATCGGCAGACTGTACGACTATTCCAGAGGAATAGAATCCACTTTTTCTTTTGAAAAAGAATGTCGAGTGCTGAAAAATGAAGAACACATCTTTTGCTCCACGTGAAATGTTTCTCGTTTCTCCCAGAACAGCAAAAACAGCTCCTCTGCTATGAAAATCCAGTCAAAACGGGGGACGGGTGGAAGGAATAGTAGGCACGCGGCGTGCGGCAACGGAACGGATATGGACGCCGCGGTGTCCCTCTCTCCCTCTCCCAAGTTTTTTGTCTGCACCGAAACGTGCGATCAATGGCAACGTGGGAAACACCGGCGAGCCAGCCAACCGTGGCCCAAACGTGCCGCTCCTTCCGGCGAGCCGGAACCACCCGCAACCGTAACCGCCTCCTCCTCCCTCCTCCCTATATAACCCCGCGCGCCACCACGCGGCAGCCTCATCCATTCCAAGTTTGCAGCCACAAACCATTCCAGCTCCACCACGCGGTCAACCGAGGGAACAACACATCCGGATCCGAAATCTCCCAGCCTCCCACTGCTCCGTCGCGGCTCATCCCCGTCGATCGACCTTGCGATCGATTCCGTTTCTTGCCGCGCGCGCGCGCACAGCACATCCATGGCCGTCGCCGGAGGAGGAGTGGTGCTGAGCCTGCGCGGCCCGTCGGCCTCGGCGTCGCCGGCGGCGGGGCGGCTGCGTAGGGTGTCGTCGTCGCCGGCGGTGAGGTGCGGGGCGACGCGGGAAAGGATGCCGGCGGCGCCCCCGTACGGGGTGCTGGAGGAGGACCACTACCGCACTTTGAGGCTGCAGCCGGGCGCCTCCAGGGGCGAGGTCAAGAAGGCCTTCCACCGCCTCGCGCTGCAGTACCACCCGGACGTCGTGCGCCGGGGCGGCGGGGACGGACGCCAAGACGACGCCATCGACTTCGAGCGGATCAACGCGGCGTACCAGACGGTGATGCGCAACATGCAGGAGGCGGAGGCGACGCTCGAGTACTGGCGCCGCCGCTACGGCCTCGCCGACGAGGACCTCGACCGCTACCGCCACTACCTCAACGACGACGACGAGGACGACTGGTTCTCCGACTTCTGAAATCTCAAGGGCCGCTTTGATTCCTGCCATGGCAGAGGCAGCAGCGCTGTAAATAATTTGTGAAACGTTGCTCTCTGCTTCTCTCCTCTGTTTTATTGTGGAGGCGAGCTAAAGACGCAGAAATTAAGGGTTCTGACAATTGTAATTGGAACATTTTCAATTTCCTTGTCAATACAAATAAAACATAGCAGGGATTATTCTAAATTGTGGCTCATGATTAACGCCTCTTCGCTTTTTGGATTTTCAAGGGAGGGGTCGCCTCTTTCGTTCTCAGTGATAGTGCCACTGACTACTGAATGCGCGTAGGTGAAATAGTTCGGTTTTTTACTGTAAAAAGTCTATCAATTTCCAGTTCTTGCACGTGAAATGCTAGCAACTGTGTTCATCCTCCCTGGATGTTTGATCCTCCCTGCATTTTCCAGTTAAAAAGACATGAACTTCCAGTTCTGGCCACTGGATGTTTGATCCTCGATGCATTTCCTTCTGAAGCATCTGCTCTCTCCTATTCTTCTTAGCCTCCTAATCATGCAAGTGGACTAGCCGAGCAAGGACTGTAATTGCTCATACATTATCTACCCATTTTCTGTTCTATGGGCGATAAACAAGATACCCGCGCATCATCTACCGAAAAATTGCTTTTAAAATGTTTGTCATGTGCTGCTACATGGGTAGAAGATTTCAGGAACGCGGCTTGATTTAGATCCGAGAAGATATGTTCTTCAAGTACTATATCCATATTGAGTAGCCATGATGCAATGTTAGGTATAGTTGTCACTCACTGATTCATGCCTCCTACCACTCATTCATGCCAATGTCACAACAATTCATATATTTCAGTTTCAATTACAACAATCATACCAATTGAAATTGTAATTTCAACACAACCTTACGTATGACAATTTCAATACACTCTCAAATATTTTAATTTTAGAGAATTTCAATTAAAAAACAAATATGTCAATGCCAGGTCACATATTTCAATGTCAAATCACATATCGATTTACACAACCTGTCACGTATCATATATTAGAAATTGCAATTTCAATACGTCTCACCTATTTTACTTTCCCAATGTCACAGCAATTCAAATATTCAGTTTTAGTTTCAACAATCAGATCAACTGAAATTACAATTTCAATACAATCTCACATATGTCAGTTTCAATACACCCCTGCATATTTTAATTTCATAGAATCTTAAGTTTACCAAACAAATATTTCAATGTCAGATCAAATATCAATTTACACAACATCTCATGAATCACATATAAGAAATTACAGTTTCACAACATCTCACCTGTGTCAGTTTTCCAATGTCACAACAATTCAAAATTTTGAGTTTCAATTACAACAAATTAGACCAACTGAAATTGTAATTTCAATACAATATCACATGTGTCAGTTTCAATACACTCTTAATAGCAAGATGAGATGATGTAGACAAAGTAACCTCATGCATGAATAAGCCTCATCTTTTTATCCTTAATAGCAACCATACAAATACGTTTCATGTCCCTTTCTGCCACTGGGATTGAGTACCGCAAGATCGAACCCATCACAAAGCACCTCTCCCATTGCAACAAAAATCAATCTAGTTGGCCAAACCAAATCAATAGATCAGAGAGAAATACAAAGATATAGTATTCATGCATAAAAGGGTTCAAAGAAAACTCTAATAATATTCATGGATAATCTGATCATAAACTCACAATTCATCGGATCCCAAAAAACACACCGTAAAAAGTGATTACATCGAATAGAACTCCAAAAACATTGTACTGAAGACCAAGAGAGAGAGAGAGTCATCTAGCTACTAACTATGGACCCGTAGGTCTGTGGTAAACTACCCACACATCATCGGAAGGGCAGTAAGGTTGATGTAGTGCCCCTCCATGATTTATTCCCCTTCCGGCAGAGTGTCGGAAAAGGCCTCTAGATGCGATCTCGTCAGAATAGGAACTTGTGGCAGCAGAAAAAGTATTTTGACTGCCTCTCTGTTGGTTTCTCGATTTTAGAGAATTTATAGTGGCGGGGTTAGGTCAAACGGAGCCATGTTGGCCCCATGAGCCACCAGAGCGCACCCTGGTGCCTCGTTGGCCACTACTCCATCTTCTGGTCCTCTCCTAAAGCTTCCAGGGTCTCTTATGTCCAGAAAAAATATTTAAAAAATTTCATGGCGTTTGGACTTCGTTTGGTACTAATATTCTGAAAAACCAAAAACAGGCAAAAAAACAACAACTGGCACTGGGCACTAAGTTGCCTCGTGGGCCACTACTTCATCTGTTGGTCCTCTCCTAAAGCTTCCAGGGTCTCTTATGTCCAGAAAACATATTCAAAAAGTTTCGTGGCGTTTGGACTTTGTTTGGTCCTAATATTCTGGAAAAGCAAAAACAGGCAAAAAGCAGCAACTGGCACTGGGCACTAAGTTAATAGGTTATTCCCAAAATATGATATATATATATATATATATATATATATATATATATAATTGCTTGTAGATGCATATAAAACATCCAAGATTGATACTATAATAGCATGAAACAATAAAAAAATTATAGATACGTTGGAGACGTATCAGCTCGCTACAAGGTCAACCTGCTAGGTGTGAAGTACCTCGTGCGGCGCCACCATCTAGAGAATCACGATAAGTGGTGTCAGATGGTATATAAAATCACGCTTGACATCTACAAATCTAAATAAATTACAAAAATGTGATTTACGGAATATAACATCAACAATATTATAGGGTGGACTGGGGCAATTGCCCCCCCCCCCCAACCCCCCGCGCTGCTCTTCAGCATGTTGTATTTATTCAATAGTTATTTATGATTGGGGGCACAAATCTTATAATCATTATTTGCATGGACATCATCATCCTGCTCCTTCACACTCCTTCCCTGATGGCCAACCGCGCATGGCTGCCGTTCGATGGACGTGCGCGGGTAGCCAGTTTTTGCTGTCGTTGTCAAGCATAGACTATAAGTTCTTATACTTATGAATTGCATAGAAAAGACAGAATTCTAATACTTGACATGGAGAAGAAATCACAAGGACGTATATTGAAACCTTACTCCAATTCTAACGGGGGAGATCGCATCCTGCATCTAGCAAAGCATCTTGCATGGATGAGTTGTGGGCGCATTGGATAAGGACGCGTCGCCCAAAGGCATGCAACACTGGTGCCTTTAGCCACAGACAAGGACGAGGCGAGCAGGAGGATTAGTAGGCGATGACGCCCATAAAAATTCATACGAATACAACCGTGTTAAGTGTACGATGGATGCACACATATTCAAATGGGTCATACGGGTTTCAATAGTGGATGATGCCCTTAATTATGAAGGAGTATCTCCACCATTGATTTGTGTAGGGGAGGGGGGGTTGTACCATAGCCGAAGTGTTTTGATATTAATGCTTTTTAAAATAATTTTCATGATATGTAATATATATTGATGAAGTATTTATGTCACAATGTTATAGTTGTAAGATCCATTGTGCCTCATTCACGCTAGGACCTCCATAATAGGCTGGCCCTGACTACCATCATACAAACCTATATACGCATGATCTGGAAGTGGTTCGTCTGGGCGACCGCAACACGATTGCATACGAGAAGGCAACGGAAATTTTACATAGTGTGATGCACGTTCTTACTCCACTTGTTGTGGAGTGTGGCATCAAAGTACTCGAGGCCGACTGGGCGATAGCAGAAATCTGAAGCTGCATCAAGCGGATAGTGGTGGTCGGGCAGCCAATGGTTCTGACATTGATGCCGAAGGGAGCACCATCATCAAGTGTGGATTTCCAATACTCCATAAAATTTGCATCAAGATCAATGTTGTCTTTATATAGAAATTTTATCTTTTTTGTTTCTTCCAAACAATAGAACATTTGACATTGAAACTTTGCAGGTCAATTGTACACAAGTGCCATTCTGTGCATAAAATCTTTTCTATTTTTTTGGTTGTAAGTGCATCTAGTGCCCCTTAGTGATTTTGGTGTATTGAAGACTTATAGGTTAAGGGACTAATGCATGTGTGAGTGTACACATGTCTATAAGTCTATGAGGAGTTTGATATTTATTGGAAAAGTCGACCCATAAAAATAAATATCTTCGACTGAAGATTTTGGTATTTCTGAAGACTTTGAAAGTGAAGAAATTGGTGTGTCCGTGAAGACTTGATATTCATGCGAGGAATATGAAGCTTGAAGACTTTCATTTTCATATTTTTGTTTTTCTCTTTCTTGAGTCATAGGAAACACCGTACTGTTAAAGGGGGTCGAGGAAATACTAAGGAAAAATTTCCATGTGATGCTCAACTCAAAATCCTACACCTACCAATCCCTTCAAGTGAAGTCATTGAAAATCTCATACAGTCCAGTCAATTTCTTCAGTGACAGAGACGAAGTTCTTCTGGTCTCTGAGGAATTTGTCCTGACTGAGGAGTTAGGAATTCGCCAGTGCGGATTGCCTACACAGTGAGGAACATGATAGCCCTGAGGATTTTGCTACTCAAAATTTCGACCGTTGCTGTGCTATGCGCCAGCTGTCCCAAAATATCTATCCACCTAACGGTCATATCATTGAAGGGCATTTATGTCTTATCATGTCGGGCTGCTCCCTAGGTTATAAATAGCCGCCCCCTACAACCACTAGCTGGTTGGCTGCTACGAGAGAAACCGACACTTGTCATTTGAGAGCAACCCATCCTCCAAGGACTTTGAGCGAAAATCATCAAGTGAAAAAAACCAAAAAACCAAAACCCAAACACCTACAAACCCCAAGTGACTGAGCATCACTGAAGAGATTGATCCTGAGTGGATCTGACGCTTGTTACCTTTCAAGACTGTGCTTCTTCCAGACGGTTAGGCGTCATGGTCTAGAGCATCCAAGAGGAATTGTGGATCGCCGAGTGACCAAGTTTGTGAAGGTTTGGAAGTCGCCTGAAGACTTACCACGAGTGATTGGACGAGGTCTGTGTGACCTTAGTTCAAGGAGAA